TCTCTCTCTCTCTCTCTCTCTCTCTCTCTCTCTCTCCCTCTGCCTTTCTTCATCACGAATCGGTGGAAAATGTGAGACAGGGTGACTGAAACTTAGATATGGTGACGTGGATGGCTGACGTGGAGTAAACCCACTTTCTGATGCGCCGCAGAAATATGTTCAAACAAACAAAGCGAACACGAACTGAAAAGGAAAACAAATAAATCCATGCCAGAAAGTGCAAAGAATAGGCGCGAGGCGGACGCACCTTGCCCTGCAGTGAAGTGGCCATTTCAAGTTGGAAGCGGAAGAAGCAGGAGTCCTTAAATACATTCGCGGGCGATTCAGCCGCTTCGTCAAACACTCCACTGGTGCCGCAAACAAGACGGTGATTATTCATCCGAACTGGCGCGTAGAATGCCGGCAGGAACTGAAGATGTATGCCCAGACGCACACGACGACCCACCGCAGAGAGGTCTTGTATGGAGACCGAACCCACATTCGTGGCAAACTCAATGCAGAGCTGGGCATGGAGCGTCTGTTGTCCGGGACATTGGGTGGAATTGGGAGTCTGTGACCACCAGTCCCAAAAAGCACCTGAGTCCATCTTTAGCCACAGTTGGCCGCAATATCCGGCTTCTGATTGGTCCTTCGCACAACAATGCTTCGGTGCTTCTAGGGGTCGCAACCTCAAGGGTAGCTAAAGAGGAAAAAGGAGGTAATAGAGAGAACCCATCAGGCCAAAGCACTATTAGCAGTATAAAATGAGATGCCAAAACGAAACGAAATGTGCAAATTCAAACTGTTGTGTACTAAATGCGTTATATATCTCATGGGTAGGAGTTGGAAAGCCGTCTCGACATTTGTTTGCACAAATAAAGCCTCCTGTGTATACACCTGCTCTACATCACAATAGTTTATAGAGTACACGGACAGGATAGTGAAGACGGATGAAAATGAGCTGAGATTACCAAGAGGCATATTTATATGCATATGAAGCAAATGGATCCATCAGAGTTGTGCCTGTGCTTCCGTACTAATTCGAAGCGTCAAGCGAGAATAAAATAACCCTTCCAGCCAGTCACACCATAGTCCCATTTAGGGTAGGCCGGGGGCTCGGATACAGGTACGTAGGTAATTGAGCCAAATACTGTGCCATTAAGCCACGAGACCATACCATGTCAGCTGTAATCGAACAAACTGGCATTCGACAACTAACCCCGCTGGCAGAATGAGAGGTGAACATTCTGTTTTGCCTGGAAATAAAAGCAGAGGACAACGTCCGAAGGATTTCCGCAGAGGCCCAATTACAAATAACTATAGCATACAACAACAACGGAAAATCGCAGAAACGATTTTACGGTTTTTGAAGAGGCGTTGGAAGTGCACGCGACTCGTATTGTATACTCCAATCTCTTACACAAGCGGCTGCGAGCATGCAGCAGGAGAATACCAGCACAAAAGTTGTACTACTAACTGCTGGGTGATTAATTTACGTATTCACCTATCACACACATTCAAGGCTGGAGAACAAAGCCAATTCCTACGTAATTACTGACCATAGTGGTGGCACAGATACTATCTAAAAGCTATCCCTACTGTCAGTATGCTCAATAATTACGTAAGTTCGGCTACTGACTGTCTGATGGCAGCTTGTGAGTATTATGCGGCCATCCTGCACTGACTGGTGAACTTCGGCCAAATATTCACATCAAATATGCTTGCAGACCCTTGAATATACTGATTCGATACTCTGAGTGATAAATTAATTTCTGAGGAAATTAAAATGCTAAGACCAAGTCCATCTGGATGATAAGCTGCAATGGATGCGCATTGGTGCAATGTTTACTCGGACTTAGTATCTTTCTTTGGCAGGGTTAAAATATAGTCGTTTTGTACGAGGGCCATCTTCCGCTAATGACCTGAGACATCTGTCTTGACTTGAACGAGGCAAACACCCATCTCCAGAGAACCTAACAACAAAATACGTAAATTTCCTGGGAGTGCTGATAGTATATACGACAGTTCAACCTCGGTTTCGACTACGTGCACCGTATGCTTCACGGCAGGGCGGTGCAAGGACGGTGACTTGCGTGTGAATTGATTTTAAGTGATACTGGACTTTCGAAGCACCTACCTCACTCTTTCTTCCCCCACTCACCTAGGCGCTGTGTCAAGACAGAGTTAAGAAGACCAGGCGCGGGTGGCTGGCGCAGCCAAAGCCACCCCTATGCGTGCCGTCATGCTCCCTCCTCCATGTTAGGCATTTTTCATCGCATCACAACCCGAATACCGCCTACCGTTATGCCTGATATGGCCCCCGTGTTGGTCCAGCGCATCTACCACGCAGCCATCTTAGAGGGCACACTATTATGAAAGTGATGACGTCAACTGCGCGCCACAGGACAGTTCTATTGTCGATCCCGGCTATGTCTAGCGTGTGTTCCATAGCCGGATGGTAGTGCATGGACAGTGACTTGCGCGTGGATTAGTTTTAAGTGACGTCAGATTTGCGTTACATCTACTGCACTCTCCCACTTCCCTTCGCCCGCCTGTGCCCGCTGACAATAAAAACGGAAGCGGGGTCGGGCGTAGCTGGCAGACAGGCGCAACCAGAGCCGCCAAGACCGATTAACTTACCACAGAGTGGGAGTGCCATAAAGGCGATGGATAGTCAGTGCCCCCAGGCCCCCCATGTTTGGCATTTGTTATGTGAGCGGAACCCAAGTAAGGCCTGTCATGCCTTGATCTGACGGCCGTGTGGATCCAGCGTATCTACCACGTGGCCCGTTTCGGGGGCACGCATGTCACACAAAGCGGGCTCAACAGCGGAAGTCTGTGCGTGAATTACTTTATAGTGAAGGATGCTTGTACTGCGTCTAACGCACTCTCCTCCCTAGCCCACCTAGATCCAATCGCGAGAAAAATGTTAAGAAGCCAGGGTATTGGCATGGATGCGGTGGTTGACGAAGCCAAGCAGTCCGTCTAAGCGTAACACACACGACATGGGCTCCGTTTCGTGCAACCAGCTGCCGTACGAGCAGTTCGGGTATCACTGACGGGAATGAATCAAGGCCATATCAGGACAATCCATGGAATGTAGAGGTAAATTTTCGAGAGAGACTGATTTAACTTGGCGGTTGTGAGTCACCACGAACAAGCGGACGATATCTTACGAATCCCATGCAACGAGAGCAATAATAACATCCAAAAGGTACTTTAAGTTAATATTGAAAAATGCCGAACAACCTTAATGTGGAGATAGCAAGCTGCGCCGCGGCTGACATGCAGACGTGTGTTCGTCATGTTAATACAAACAGCACGGACACGAAAGTGTGACGAGATTGTCAAAGGTGATTTAAGTTCTGCAAATATTCCCATGTTTAATTTGAAAAGTTTATTCGGCAAACATATGTTTTCAGCAAGTCCTCAGCGGACCGGTACAAGTGCAGGGAGCACTTAAACAGGGTAGTGAAGTATTTCATGATTACAACTCATCGTTTTCACGTAGTCCGCATGACGAGATCCGCGTCTCGAGTTCCTTGTGCTGGAGGTTAGGGGGGGGGAGGAAATGAGGATAGGCTGTGAGCATCGATCATGGGTCAGGTATGTGGAGTGATAATTACTGTAATTTGCACATTTTACCTGGCCTTAGCCACTGACGAGATAGTGTTTGTATTAGCGTGGCCGACGCCAGGTGGCGATCGCGCATTGCCTCTCACACTCTGGTGGCAGTTGTTCACTCCGTGCAAATGATGGTAATTATCACTCCATATACCTGGCCCATGACCAATGCTCACAGCCTATCCTAATTCCCCC